TTTATTTTCACACTATCCAGAGTGTGTTTTACACTTATTACTCATCTCTGTTCAAACTACATATATTTCAACTGGTTAGTGGCCAATTGTTTCTAGTGGCTACCACATTAGACATCACAACTCTAGAATTCTAGGAGAAACATTAGTGTAATACAGAGAATGTTGACTTGCAATAAGACTTATTATCAAATCCTGTCTTTGTCACTTACCACATGAGCCTGGACAATTTACTCAATCTCTTTGGGCCTTAGTTCCATCATGTGTACAACACTTTTGCTAGGATTAGAGTCGAGTGTATTGAACAATTTCTAATATAGAGTTCACTGATTTTTAAAAAATCAATGAGGACATAACCCATGCTATGCCAATGTTTTGCACAATACCTGGAACCTAGAGTTTTCATGTTATAGCCATTTATTGAGCACATAAGACAATGTCAATCATTTTACTAGGATTTGGAAATACTAGATATGAAGTCTGCCTTCAAGAAGCTTGGTCCAGAATGACAAGTAAATTGTTAATTATTTATAATATAGTTACAATAGAAGTCAAATATAGCTTAATGTCATATAAATTAAAAAGCTTTCATACAGCAGAGAAGCTAACTGTGCTTGGTAATATAAAGGTAAGCTTCATAAAGTTGTGGTTTCAACTTAATGTGTAAGGAAAATTAGTTGCTTCCACACTAAGTTGGATGTGGAAGGGGATGATATGGGAAAGAAAACCATTAGGAAAGTCATGGAGGTATGACATTGCATATAAAATATGAGGAACTTCTAGTTTTGCAATGAATAGAGTTCACAGGATTGGCTGGGGGAAGGACCAAAGGGCAGCATCAGGATCGAGAGTGGAATAGTTAAGATCCACAGCTCTCTTGATACTCTTCACCAAAGCTGGTACTTACTCATTTTTTCTCATGTTAAAAAATGGTATCACCCCCAAATACCTATATATTAAATATTTTTTCCTCATCTTTCAGCTCTAATCTATTCATAAACCTACTGCCTGTTTACCTCTGAAATAGACCTTGTCTATGCCCTAGTGCAAGCCACTCACCTCTTTCCTGGGCCACTGTAAAAGTCTTCTAACATCTACCTCTTTCCACTCTTATCCTCCTATAATCTGATTTCTTCCCAGAAGCAAGGGTGATTTTCTTTTTAAAGTCTATTAGTCTTTCAGTTCCCTGTGTTACAGCCTTAACAGCTCTCTCTTTCTTCATGTTCTACAAGGTTCTACATGATCTGGCCTACCTCTCTGATCTCATCTCGCTTTATCCCACCCTTTATCACATGTGCTGTTGCCACACTGATTTCTTTTTAATGTGTCTCGTGTATTAGCTTTTTCCTTTCTTGGGACATTACTCTTGCTGTTTCCTCTATCTATTGCTCTTTCTCTGATCTCTAAATGACTGGACACTTCTAATCATTTAAATCACATCATAAAGTCACTCTTTTAAGGGGTGTCTTCCCTTACCATCCAGTCTAAAATACACTGACGGAGAAGTCACTCTCTATTTTATGATTTTATATAGTTCTTATTGCTATCTGAAATTATTTTTATCATCACTATTAGTACTGTTGCTATTACTGTTATTTACTAACATATTTTCTTTCCACTAGAATGTAAGCTCTCTGAGAACAGAAACCTGTCTTTTTTATCATTGTCTCCTGAACATCACCTACAGTGCTTAGCAAAAAACAGACACACACTTAACACTTGTTGAATGGATGAAGTTTTTCCTACATGTACTATTACTCCCTTTCATAGCATTTCACTTACATTAAGAAGGAAAAGGTATGCAAATTTATTTATTTAGCGTTTCATCAGGTACAATAAATATTTGCCTACAGGGAGAACACCACCACCACCACAAATCCTACTACTATATGCACTATATTAAGCACATGACTTGCTCGAGGGGAAAAAAGTTAGTTTCTCCAATTCATAGACTTTCCGATTTTAAATGTTTTCTTAAATCTTAATGCAGAAATTTAAATAACAAAAAATTTGAATTAAGGATGGGAAACAGGGCTGATTTAAAAAATGGAAATATCACATAATATTTCTGTTTGAAATGGAAGCATGACAAAAATTTGAAAATATACAGTTGAAGCAATATTTTGAGAATTCAGTTGGTTTCAATTGTTATTTTCCATTAGTGACGGATATCAGAAATAAAATACAGTCCTTATTTATTTAATTAGGATTTATATATATACACACATATATAAAGAATTTATATATGTGGACAGTATATGTACAGTGTTATATATATGTACTGTTATATATATAGTACAGTGTGTGTGTGTGTATATATATATAGTTTGTTCTCATGCTGCTATAAAGAAGTGTCCAAGACTGAGTAATATATAAAGGAAAAAGATTCGATTGACTCACAGTTCCACATGGCTTGGGAAGCCTCAGGAAACGTACAATCATGATGGAAGGGGAAGCAAACGCAAACACATCCTTCTTCACTTGATGGCAGGAAGGAGAAATTCTGAGCAAAAGGGGGAAAAGCCCCTTATGCAACCATCAGGTCTTGGGAGAACTCACTCACTATCATGAAAACAGCAGTATGGGATAACCGCCCCCATGATTGAATTTCAATGACCTCCCACCAGATCCCTCTCACAACACATGGGGATTATGGGAACCACATTCAAGATGAGATTTGGGTGGGGACACAGCCAAACCATACATATATATACATATATATACACACACACGCCCACATACACAAGGACTATATAGATATGTGTGTGTATGTATATAAAAATATAGTCCTTATGTGTGTAAACATATATTTACTGTCCTCATTTATGTGTTATGTGTGTGTGTATGTGTGTTTGTGTGTGTGTGTGTACACATTGCCAGAGGTTTGTAAAGGTTAAGATTGTATCAGAAAAAAACAGGGTCTCAGTCACCTCTGTCAGCCCACGCACCATGTTGTCCCGCCACTCTGCTGTCCCACTCCTCCACCAGTCTCAATGGAAGAAGAGATCGCTGTGCTGGTGATTGACAATGGCTCCAGCATGCGCAAAGCTGGCTTTGCTGGGGACGACACATCCCAGCCGTGTTTCCCTCCATCATTGGTGCCCCCGGCACCAGGGTGTGATGGTGGGCATGGGCCAGAAGGACTCCTATGTGGGCAACATGGCCATGAGCAAGCGCAGCATCCTGACCTTGAAGTAACCCATTGAGCATGGCATCCTCACCAACTGGGACGACATGGAGAAGATCTGGCATCACACCTTCTACAAGGAGCTGCATGTGGCCCTGGAGGAGCACCCGGTGCTGCTGACCAGGGCTCCCCTGAACCCCAAGGCCAACAGAGAGAAGATTATTCAGATCATGTTTGAGACCTTCAACACCCTGGCTATTTACGTGGCCATCCAGGCTATGCTGCCCCTCTACACCTCTATTTGCACCACTGGCATTGTCATGGGCTCTGGAGATGGGGTCACCCACACGGTGCCCATTTATGAGGGCTACGCCCTCCCCCACACCATCCTGCATCTGGACCTGGCTGGCCAGGACCTGACCAACTACCTCATGAAGATCCTCACCAGGGGCAACTATAGCTTCACCACCACTGCTGAGCAGGAGATCAGGCACTACATCAAGGAGAAGCTGTGCTATGTTGTACTGGACTTTGAGCAGGAGATGGCCACTGCCGCATCCTCCTCCTCCTCTCAGTAGAAGAGATATGAGCTGCCTGATGGCCAGGTCATCATCATCGGCAACGAGGTTCCGGTGTCCTGAGGCGCTGTTCCAGCCTTCCTTCCTGGGCATGGAATCCAGCGGCATCCACCCAGTCCACCTTCAACTCGATCATGAAGTGTGACGTGGACATCTGCAAAGACGTGTAGGCCAGCACGGTGCTGTCCGGTGGCACCGTGTACCCGGGAATCACTGACAGGATGCAGAAGGAAATCACCACCCTCACACCCAGCACCATGAAGATCAAGGATGATCGCACCCCCAGAGCACAAGTACTCGGTGTGGATCGGTGGCTCCATCCTGGCCTCACTGTCCACCTTCAAGCAGATGTGGATTAGCAAGCAGTGGTACAACGAGTTCCCCCCCTCCAGCATCCACCACAAATGCTTCTAAATGGACTGTGAGCAGATGCCTAGAATTTGCTGCATGGGTTAATTCAGAAGTATAAATTTGCCCCTGGCAAATGCATATACCTCATGCTAGCCTCACCAAACTGGAATAAGCCTTCGAAAAGAAGTTGTCCTTGAAGCTTGTATCTGATATCGGCACTGGACTGTAGAAATGGTTGCTGATTTTGACCTCGCGTTCAAATTAACAGTTCCCCTTGGTATCTGTACATATCTTGGATTTCAGTCTTGAGTACATGTGGCTTGGTCACTTCATGGCTAAAAACGTGCTTGTGGAAGACAAGTCTGTGGCTTGGTGAGTCTGCATGGCCAGCAGTCTCTGAACTGTGCAGGTTATTAATGTGTCAGGGCTGAGTGTTCTGGGATTTGTCTAGAGGCTGACAAGGACTCCTGAACCAGTTGTTTCTGTCCTGTCAATCTGTCAGGGTTGGAAAGTCCAAGCCATAGGACCCAGTTTCCTTTCTTAGCTTATGTTGTCTGCCAGAACCCTGTGGGCTGTTACTTGCCTTGAGTTGGAAGCAGTTCACATTTATAGCTGTAAATGTATTCCTCTTTTTAATTTATGTAAAGTTTTTTGTACGCAATTCTCAATCTTTAAAGAGATGACAACAAATTTTGGTTTTCTACTGTTATGTGAGAGCATTAGGCCACAGCAACACGTCATTGTGAAAGGAAAAATAAAAGTGCTGATATAAGCAAAAAAAAAGAAACATTAGTTTCTAAAAGGTCATTTATTTCCATGAGAGACTTTTTAATGTTCTTCACCTGTTAAAATTATTACTGATAAACCTTTTCAGATTACGAATAAACACTTTGCCCTCAAGTATTTATTAATGCTAATATTTACTTTGTAAAATGTGCTTCTTACAGGAATATAAATAGTTTCTGGAAAGGACACTGACAACTTCACAGCAAAATGAAGTTCTTTCTGTTGCTTTTAACCATTGGGTTCTGCTGGGCTCAGTATTCCCCAAATACACAACAAGGACGGACATCTATCGTTCATCTGTTTGAATGGCGATGGGCGGATATTGCTCTTGAATGTGAGCGATATTTAGCTCCCAAGGGATTTGGTGGGGTTCAGGTGGGTATTATTCATAGTATAAATTGCAGGATTCACTGTGCTTGTAGTAAATCGTGCTCTGATCTGATCTTTGAAACTTGGGCAACATTTTACTTCCCAGGTAAGTATTCTAAGTAAAACAGTTTTCTGAGGAAAAAACAATGTAGTATTGTTGGCAACTTTATATTTTGTTTCTGAGATAATCTTTCTTCAAGGAGAATCCTCCAATGTGCTGTTAATATTTTCAAAAGATAGCTGCATATACAAGGATTCAAGAATATTTTTATATTATTGATTAGTTTCTAGAACATCCAATGTTATACAGTAAGACACAATTTGCTGCTTATTAAGACTGTTACATTTGTAGGTCTCTCCACCAAATGAAAATGTTGCAATTTACAATCCTTCAAGACCTTGGTGGGAAAGATACCAACCAGTTAGCTATAAATTATGCACAAGATCTGGAAATGAAGATGAATTTAGAAACATGGTGACTAGATGTAACAATGTTGGGGTAAGTGAATTCTAGTTTCCTTTAAAAATAACAGATAGGAAAATGATTTCTCTCTTCTTTCTTGCTCCCTTTGAGCAGAAAGTTTTCCATATTTTACATTTTTTTAAATTGTACTTCATGCTTTAAAACTTAAAATTAAATGTCTTATGTTCAACTTTTGTAAATATTTGTGTACGTGTTCTCTATCTACTAAAGAGATAAGTTAAAGTTTAGAGCAGAATTTACTTCTAAAGCAAAACATCAAATTTTAACTCTTATAACTATCCATATTTCCTGGAAAGACTTTTCTGGTTAGGAATTACAATTTCAGTTACAATATTTGCTATCATTTTTAGGTAACTTGTGTTTCCATTAGTAATTCCTGGGTTTTTTGTGGTGAATAGCTCGCTTCTCTATTTAATGAGCAGCATAATTTGAGACTAATATCTAACTTATTTGTCTTCAACTGCTAACTAGAGAGTACAGGCTTTCTCCTGGTGACCCACTGACATTTCCAAAACAGTAATCTTTCCAGTCTCATCTGAGTTTTGTCTCCCCGAAATGGGCTTTTTGCATTTCCTCCTATTTATGGTAGTTTCTGGTTCTCTCAATTTATCATTACTCTAAATATTTGACCAAGTGTCTAGAATGAATGTAGGTATTTAGTTCACATTACTTTCCTTTCACAGTTGACTTTTGATCTTGTAGGAAAATAGTTATAAGATATAATGAAATATTTTGGAGTTTTATTAACATACTATAAACTTTAATCAATACTGCTTTAAGTGTCTACCTCTCTGTAAGTCACACTGAAGTAGAAACTTTGCTTTCTAGGTTCGTATTTATGTGGATGCTGTAATTAATCATATGTGTGGTAATGCTGTGAGTGCAGGAACAAGCAGTACTTGTGGAAGTTATTTCAACCCTGGAAGTAGGGACTTTCCAGCAGTCCCGTATTCTGGATGGGATTTTAATGATGGTAAATGTAAAACTTCAAGTGGAGATATCGAGAACTATAATGATGCTACTCAGGTAATTTTTTTTTAAGACAGTGATCTGAATAAAGAGTGATATATGCCTTTAATTATAGACATGTAGCTAATTGAGCTTCAGTTTAAATACTAATTTAGATCTCTTAGGGACACAGGTTAACAAATTTGACTATGAAACTCAAATCCATATTTAAAAACTTTTAAATATTAATTTAAGAGTTTTAATCAATACACACTTTTAAAAGCTCACTTTAAAAAATCTTCCAACCAATTCAAAAGCTCATCGACTTTATTTCTTAAATTCTCTATTTTCTACTACAAAATATTTCAAAGATACATCTATAGTAGAATGTGAGCATCCCCAGGTCCTAATGCAAGGAAGTCCCTATAAAACATCTATTGAGGAATTACTGAATATATGAATAAGCAAATGGATTCTCAGGTGAAAAGTGAGGTTTTATGAATCAGTCATAACATTTTTACCTCAACAGGTCAGAGATTGTCGTCTGAGTGGTCTTCTTGATCTTGCGCTGGGGAAGGATTATGTGCGTTCCAAGATTGCCGAATATATGAACCATCTCATTGACATGGGAGTTGCAGGGTTCAGACTTGATGCTTCCAAGCACATGTGGCCTGGAGACATAAAGGCAATTTTGGACAAACTGCATAATCTCAACAGTAACTGGTTTCCTCAAGGAAGTAAACCTTTCATTTTCCAGGAGGTACATTCAATGCGTATATGCATATAAAATATCATCTTATTCATTAGAAAATTAATGGCAGATTCAATTAAACATGCAATTTCTGTAGGATAAGGACTGAGTCATTTATGTAAAACACTGTTCTTTAACCTCCTCTTCTTCAGATACAGCATATCTAATTCTTTATCACAACAGGTTTTATGAAGTACACAGAATGTAGGATACTGATAATAGTTATGTCTTTCTTTTCTTTGGAAATGAAACGAGTTTATATTTATCAAGAAATGTCAGTCAGATAGTAAATGTATTAGTATGAGCTGTTATTATCATTGATGTACAAGACTAAAAATTAGGTAAACATTCTCACAGGACAGCAGGTAACTTTGACATTATGTTTATTTCAATATTGTAGTGTATACTGTATCAAAAAAAGAATATAAGAATATTACCTATTGAGATAATAAGAATAAGAAAACCATTTTGAGCATTCTACATAACAAATAGCACTGGGTGTGGTGGCTCGTGCTGTGATTTCACAAATCACAGCACTTTGGGAGGCTGTGGCAGGAAGATTGCTTGAGGCCAGGAGTTTGGGACCATCCTGGACAATATAGCAAGACCCTGTCTCTGAAAAACAAAACAAGACAAAAGCAAATAATAAATAACTTAAAGCTATTTGTTATATAATATTAACTTATTGGTTAAAATGCTTTAAAGACCTTATGAAAAATGTTATTTTTTCCTAAATTTCTACTAGGTAATTGATCTGGGTGGTGAGCCAATTAAAAGCAGTGACTACTTTGGAAATGGCCGGGTGACAGAATTCAAGTATGGTGCAAAACTCGGCACAGTTATTCGCAAGTGGAATGGAGAGAAGATGTCTTACTTAAAGTAATTAAATACAACTTTTCCCCTGAATTATTTCATAGATCTATTATTCATACTACCCCAGTGTGAGTTATCTTCTGGAACATTCTTATTCAGACAACTGTCAAGGAGGCAATTTTTAATGATAAGTATTCTAGTGCCCTAAACTCGAATCAATCATCTTTTGTATTTAGAGTGTCTGTCACAAGACGGTATGCCTAGGAACCCTGAACATTCCCTAGGAATTTTCATCTAAGTACGAGATGAATATACTAGATTTGACTGATGTTTGCATATAATCTTTTAAAGCCGGTTTATTTTTAAAATGATCCTGTCATTTATAAAGTATGTACAAAGTGTCCATACTGTAGAATTTACATATATTAATTTAAAATATTAAAATATGTATATGGTAACAATACAGTATTGAAGCCTTATTTTAATCTAGTTTGACATTCTGTACAATGTGATATGGATATTGATCCTTCTGGAGTGCCTCTAAATTAGAAAGTGCTGAAACCTCTAAAAGAACTTTTTTAAATATCAGAAATCTTATATTAGTAATATGAACATAAGTATTCCAAACATGTATATACAAATATGGAATATATACATAGATTACAGATGTGAGTGTATGGTATGTGTGTATATGTATATGGTGTGTAAATATATATATATTCCAGAAAAACCATTTAATTAGAGAGAGAATTAATCTTCAGATGCCATGCCCTGCAGAAAGAGATGCACAGTTAAGTTACTCTAAAACGATTGTGAAATGATACATCAATGTATATCTTATTTTTCAAAAATAGGAACTGGGGAGAAGGTTGGGGTTTCATGCCTTCTGACAGAGCACTTGTCTTTGTGGATAACCACGACAATCAACGAGGACATGGGGCTGGAGGAGCCTCTATTCTTACCTTCTGGGACGCCAGGTAGAAAACAAAGTTCTCTATTTTTTTAACACATCTTTTAATGATGGTAAGAATGTTCTGATATTCTATGATAATATAATTATGTAACTTTCAGGCTGTATAAAATGGCAGTTGGATTTATGCTTGCTCATCCTTATGGATTTACACGAGTAATGTCAAGCTACCGTTGGCCAAGAAATTTTCAAAATGGAAAGGTAAGTTTTGGAGTTGTTCAAAATATCCCTCTCTCAAGAAAAAGGAGGCAATCTTGTTCTAACTTAATATGACAACTATTAATTATGTATTTATTCAACAAATATTTAATTATGGGTAAACCTGACACAGGGCTCTGATTTTAGGCAGGTTATATTAAAGGAGTAAAATTTATATTCTTCGTTGAAAAAGAGTATGCAAACTGTTTCAGAGATATGACAAACATCCCCCTAGCCAACAGGAAAAAGAAAAAAAAAAAAGACACTTAAAAATAAGAGCTAGACACAGGGAGTGAAATACATATTTCTAATAAGTATCTACCTCAGGGTTGATAGCAAGATTATATATGCCAACACTTGTAGAGAACTTAAAACATCATCTGCCCGTAGTGAGAACAACGTGTTTGTTAAGTATTTTTAAAAAGTTATATGGAATACAAAGAAATGAGTCAGTTGAGCTAAGTTAAACAGGCAAAGTGTCCTATAAGAGGAAGGAAATTATATGTACTAAAGAACAGAAATGTATAGAGCATTCCAGGAAAGGTAAGAATGAGAAAAACTTTTGGGAGTGTGGTAAAGACATTAATCTGATGAGTAGTTTCAAAAAGGAACAGAGAAATAAGAGTGTAAAGATATTTGGAAAGCTAGTAGAAGGGTTTCTTTTAAACTAAAGGGTTCAGAAACAGCATCAGAGAGTTCATGTCTAAAGCAGAAATTCCTCCTTCCTATGAGTCACACTGATATCTAGCTAGCTTCTGTTAGATTCCTTTCAGTTTGAGAAGTCCGCTACTTTGTACAGCAACTGATTCTATTGTTAAACAGCTTTAATATTTAGAAGGTGTACTTTTATATCGAGCCAACTTCTTATAATTTCTACTAATTGGTCTTATTTCTGACGTTAGGAGTCAGAGAGTATTTTTATTTTTCCTATTACTATAACGTTTCCACTTTGCCAGGACTGCTGCATGCTAAAAATTCTTACTATTTGTTCACTTTTCACCATATGACATGATTCTAAGGTCAACACTGAAAACCTTCCTAGGGTTACTGTGTTTTTTTTTTTAATTTGTATTTTTTAAAGTGCCAATCTGAAAAACATAGTATTAAAAATGTGGTCAATTAATAAAAAATGATCAAATGTATTATTTTGTCCATTTATCTAAAAAGAAGCATGAAGGACTCTAAGATTTATTTAGCACATGTCACGTTCAGGGCATTTTCAGATATACTACTTAATTTCTAGAGCAAAGATAAACAATATTCCCATTTTACAAATGACAAAACAGACACGGTGAATTATGTATATTGATTAAGTTTTCTTAGCTACTAGTAATAGAGCCCATGTTTTAATCTTGGTGTTTCTGGTACTAATGCCCTGCCCACTGCAATGACATTGCATGGCTTACAGTGATGTTAAGAAGCCCTCGCAGGCCAGGTGCAGTGGCTCAGAGCTGTAATCCCAGCACTTTGCAGGGCCAGGCGAGAAGATCACGTGACCTGAGGAGTTCAAGACAAATCTGAGCAAGCTAGCAAGACCTTGTCTGTACCGAAGATTAAAAAAAAAAAAAAAATGAACTGGGTGTGGTAGTGCACATCAACAGAAGTTGAGATGGGAGGATCGCTTGAGCCTGGGAGATCAAGGCTGCAGTGAGCTATGATTGTGTTGCTGTACTCCAGCCTGGGTGACAGAGCAAAGAAGCCTTTGCAGGTCCTTGGAATGAAAACGAGAGTATACAAATTTGTTACCTTTGTTTTTAATATGGCAGAAAAGAACCTGAGCATAGAGAGATGATGAAGACCAAGTAAAGGGCTATAAAAATTAATGAAGGCATTGGATTCTAGATCAAGTCACTGACTGCAGAGACACAAGTAACAGGATAGGTTGGGTTTGGTGTAAAGGAGAAGGAAGAGGTAAATACGTGTATGTTAAACTTTGGCTTTCCCCCCCCCAATTAAGGATGTTAATGATTGGGTTGGGCCACCGAATAATAATGGAGTAATTAAAGAAGTTACTATTAATCCAGACACTACTTGTGGCAATGACTGGGTCTGTGAACATCGATGGCGCCAAATAAGGTGAGAATATTTATTTTGACATGTCCTCTAATAGGAAACTTTCTTTAGCATTTTATTTAAAACAGTTGAAGTTTAAGAATATCAACTGTTTTATGTTACTGTGTTTGTAGGAACATGGTTGCTTTCCGCAATGTAGTGGATGGTGAGCCTTTTACAAACTGGTATGATAATGGGAGCAACCAAGTGGCTTTTGGAAGAGGAAACAAAGGATTCATTGTTTTCAACAATGATGACTGGTAAGTAAATATCAATTAAAAATAATATTTTGTATCAGTATGTTCTTGATGCATTCTTTTTGTTTCTGTTCAATTTCCTTTTTCATATCTGAAAAATCATCTAGTCGGTGGAGCAAGAAGACAATAGAGATCAAAAATGGGCAGAAGCAAAATGATGATGGTTCTTACTCCTTCATTCTCCTCTTTTGATAAGGGCTTTCTGTTGTAAGCAGAGTCCTTTCTGTGTACCCTTGCAGTATCTTATACATACATAGAATTAACATGCATATGCTCACCTACATATGCCACAAAATACACAAAGTAATTAATATAAGGATTGTGAAATCATTAAAAGAACGTGTCTTGTAATCCTGCTTTTTTAATCATGAAAAAATGCTGCCTCAGTATTAAAATACCTCTATTTCTAACTTTTTCTCAAGGACTGCTCTACCTAGTTTTTTGGTATACTTTCTTCACTTCTCTGTCTCCTTGGGACAAATCACATTTTTAAAGCATATATATAAATAATATGTATCTTGTGGTTAATGATTTGCTTTGGGAGATTTGAGTTTTAGTTCTGAAACTTCTCATTATTGACCTTTCATCTGTGATTCTTATATCCTTTGCCTGTGGCATAGCTAACATATAGCTCAGAAGACTTCCTTGCAAACAGTTGAATTGTCTCTGTCCAAGGCCAACTGATACTCACACTTAGCTCATTCTAATATAAATTATATTTCGCTGATGAAAAATGAAGGAATAAATAAATATATAAGTCAAGTCGATCTCTTTCCTGCCAAAAAGGCTGATGTCTGGTTCTTTAATTAATTTCTTTTGTGGATGAGAATACTAAAATAAATTTTTGTGAAAAAGATTTATATTTCAAACAATCACTTCTTCATAGAAATGCTAGATTGTTTGTATGTACATCCAAATTCTTTTTAACCTCATGAGAAAAAAAAGGAGGTTAAAAAATAATACCCTTTAAATTGTTAAAAGTAGTTGGTATTAAGTTCAGTTGAGAACAAATTTGAATTTACTAAGGTAGCACTTTTATCAAAGTGTGACCGTTCCTGCCAATCTTCACTGATATTCTTCAAGTTTGATTTTCTGGTAATATTTTCACTACCGACCAGGGACTTGTTCAGTTTGCTGTAAGGTGACTTTTGGTCCTGAGAAAGCTATTTACACCTACTAAAGAGGCATACGGGTTTTCTTCTTAATGAGACCTTGTCTGCTTAGGGTTCTACAACATAAAGTTATGCTGTTTATTTATGTTAGTTTGTATTCCTGCTTTTCATTGTATTGAAGTTAAATCTCAAATTTTATATTCCAGGTCATTTTCTTCAACTTTGCAAACTGGTCTTCCTGCTGGCACATACTGTGATGTCATTTCTGGAGATAAAATTGATGGCAATTGCACAGGCATTAAAATCTACGTTTCTAATGATGGCAAAGCTCAATTTTCTATTAGTAACTCTGCTGAAGATCCATTTATTGCAATTCATGTTGAATCTAAATTATAAAATTTAAAATTAAATGCATATCCTCAAAACAATAGCCAAGTGTGTTTCTTTTCTTACATATACAGTAATATTTATATTTCATTAATTTTTAGTCAAAGCTCCAATTAGTAATCAACTTGAAAAATTCAGAAAAAAACTCAATAATATGAAAATCCCACTTAATTATCGAATAATTATAAGATAGTTACAGTCAGCACATCATTATGCTTCAGAAGACTGACTTTAACTCATTTAACATATGAACTAAGAAAAGCATCTTAACCAATATGTTTGTTGTCATTAGCATCACTTATCCAGCTGTGTACGTTTAATTTCTGTCATTCTGTAATTCTTCCAAAGAGTGCTTTCATCAGTTAATTAGGAATTGCTGGTTTAATGTTGATTCCCATGCAAAATTAGCCCGGTTGTATGGTTTTTATAATATGCAAGTACTTTTCATGTTAATAACGTTAAACAATAGAAGAAACCTAAATTATACAATCTACAGTTCTTAATTCTATTGAGCTCGCTGGAATCTTCTCCTACTTTATATTCTTTCTTCTTTTTCATTTTTTTTCTCACTGCTCAGACTTGGTGTTTATGACTTTTTGTTCTTTTTCTTATTCTACAATATGGATATTTACTTAGGGTTTTCACGACACCTTGTAGTCTGGGTTTTCTTCCCAATTCTCTACCTATTCATTCTTCTTCATCTTGACTTTAAATATGGAATTCATTAGGGCTCTCATCTAGGTTTCCTTATAACTCTCAGTTGTTTTGTTTACACTTAAATGAGAGCATAGAGGCCACAACTCACAAACTATCTATTCTTTTCACCTGTAAAGTGTTCCTGCCACAAAGCAGATTCACTATGCATTGGTACCACTTTGGCTCACTGCATCTTGGACTGCAGTTTCTACTATATGGATTTCCAGTGATTTAGAACATACACACAAAAAGTTGCATGAAGCAGGTTTATTGCTTACAGATAGGCATCAAGGGACACAGCAGCCTGGGGTTCATGAGGAGCCGGCTTCCCAAGACTCACACAGTTTGCCCAGAGTGGTGAAGTCTCATTTGCACCTGCCCTATTTGTACCACAGCTGAGGAACCCTTGAATGAAGCCTGCCCTGTATTTTATAACCCAGGCATCACATGATCACTGGGCTAAAGCACTCAAGAGAAAGCTGTTCTAAGAGACACAGTAAGAGAGTCTGAGCCTTATCTCAGGATGTTGCATTCCCAGCTCATTCTGCAGCTATTTTTGAGAAGCACAAGTGAGAGAAGGGGAAAACCTGGGTTGGTCCAAGGCCACTTGGAGAGCTTGTCCTGCATTTTCCCCTAGGATTTTCCTGTTTTTCTCCTATTATAATGAAGAAAGTACACCTCATTCTAAGAAAGGCCATTTTCTCTGCTTATGTTAATGATACCATTCCATTTTTATCTTTTGGAGGACTTTGGATTATCCTTCCTCTTTTGATTTAGCAGTCTTTCCCTTTCTTCTGCATTAGTCATCCTAGATTACATGTATTACAGTCTTCCAACTAAAAACATCATGGCCGCCCTCAGATATTCTTCGGTGTATATTTCTTTGCTCATTTCCTTGCTCCCTCTCCTAATTAAATACCTCTTTTTATCACACTCTCTGCACATCCTCTTCCTCCATCATTATTCATGTCTCTACTGTCCAGTTTTCACCATTGTTACTTCATTCAATCTGATCTTGACATCATCATCAATGACATTTATGTTACCAGTCCAATATTTTTCTCTATCCTCACCTTAAACCATTTCACACCAGTATTCAAGATGGTGGGTCACTTTCTCTTTCTATCTTCCTCTAGTCCTGTTTTTCTAGTCTCCTGATTTCCTTCTGTCTCACTGATTACTCTTTTTCAGGTTTTTTTGGTTTGTTTGTTTTTGTTTTTTAACTGGATCATCTTATTCTGTTCCACCTAAGTCCTAACTTTCATCTATTTATCTTCTTTCTCTATCTTCTCTTCTCTAGGTGATTGGAAACAATTCCGTCGATTTTAAGCAAATATTTTCTGTGGAAACCTAGGTATCTTCAATTCAGAACTTGGACTTCAGCCTCGGATTTCCATCAGATGCTTGTTATCACCACTTCCATGTTCCACAGACATCTCACAATTAACATATCCAAAATGGAACCTTCACTTTTTCCTTTGCATAAAACTTTTACTACATTATTTTCTTACTGCTTAGAAACATAGGATATTTTCTAACTTCTTTCTCTTTAGCTCAACAACATTATCTCTTCATATAAACCTTAGCATGAACTATTAATTGTATCTTCAAAATATTTCTTGTTATATTGCACTTCTTTTGTATCCTCTGTCATGCCTTTATCCAGGTCACAATTATCTCTTCCCTGCATTCTAAAACGACCCTACAACTGTTCTCCTATTTCCATTATTTCACTCTGTCCCTTCATTTTACTAAAGACCACAACATTATATTCATATAATTTAAATCCAATTAAAATGTTAATTCTTAAAACTTTGAAATTTTTATTGCATTCAGAATAATTCTAACTACTGATGGTAGCCTACAAATCCACATCTTATCAGATATGAACCTAGCTCTCCAGCTTCAGTTCTATTCTTTTCCCTTGAGAATCCCATAGCCTTAGGTATTATGGTCTTTCATCATTTTACTGAACATGCCATGTATTTTATTTTATGTTGTGGACTTTTGTATGTGTTTCTGCACTTTTTTGGAATGCTCTTAACTCAGTTCTTAGCATGGTTGGCTCCTGTTTTTATAAGTACTCCCAAACTCAGGAACTAGTATTACCATTTATTCAGTCCTGCAGTTCAGAAATTTGGGGCTAACGTTTGAAACCCTCTTCTCTTACGTTTCCCAGAACAAATCAAGCACTGAATACTTTAGATTGTTGCCTTCTAACTATTACTTCACTATGTTCTTTTCTCTTTCTACTTCTACTATCTAGTAATCCTTTCCATAAATGACAAAAATCTCCTGTTTTACCTCCAGCCATATGGTGAAAAGACTACCGACACCTAATTTAAAGCCAGACTTTATTGTTTATAACAAATGCAATGCAGAATGTAAGCAAAGAATGTAACCACAAGCCAGGGGTTGGGACCACTTCATATTAGTTTCTTAACATGTCAGAATTACATTCTTTCATTTTTATAAGACAGTAGCCAGACAGCCACTTTAAGAATTTTTAGTGGTTAGCAGAGGTGTAGAGGAGAGTTCCCTTGATACACAGGTAGTGGTACACATGTATCTTTATCCCAACCAGGATAGACAAGATAAACATTAGAGACATAAGCTAGCAAGCTTCAAAAAGGATATTTGAAAGGGGTTTTATAATGGGATATCAGTTTTTGTGCAAGGGAATGTATTTGTACAAGAGGTTACAGGGCTTTTCTCAGAGAATAAAACATGAAGCATATCTATTAGTTGAAATTTTAACTTTTAGAATAGCTTACATGCAGTTATGCTGATTATTGAGGAGTTGACTGCATCATCAGTATCCACTTCAGTCCTTTCTCCAACCATTCCATTATCTACCATGGAATCCGAGTGATCTTTTCAAATCAGAAGATCACTACCGCTTACCTTAGGATAAAAAGCCAACATTTTTAACAGGACCTGTAACCCTGTACTTGAAGTCTTAACCTCACTCAATTCTCCTCTTTAATTTCTGATCTCTAACCATACTAATCTTTTAATTACTGCCACTCAACAAGATCTTTTTAGTTCTTTATTTTTAATGCAAGAGACATTCCGCTCTTTCTACATGGAATGTTCTTTTCTTACCTCCTCTCCAAATTAATTCCTGTTCATCATTCAAACATTAATTCAAATGGTGATCCTGCATGAATATTTATTCAGTATTCGGTCAAGTCCCCTGATTATTGTTAGCACTCTCTGTACTTCTTAGCACTCAATGTAGTACTGTGGGAAACATCTGCTTTTTTCTTTATTGAATCTTTAGTCTCAGGACATTATCCAGAATGTCTTATGAAGAGATCAATAGTTATTTGTAAAATGAATTGAGATAATAATGAAAGAGAAAATTGAGAGAAAAAATGTATCTCTTTTGTGAAGGAGAACATTTTTATTGAAGATGTGGCCCTGTAATAGAGATATTTCTTTCATTTTTTCCCTGTTTCTTCTCAAATTTAATTAATTTCTGGTTAACCCTGATTTCTGAGGTCATAAAAATCATGGGGAAGTCAAGGACTTTGGCAATAATCCATCATGTTTTCAGGACTTTTAAGCCATAATGGCAGTAAATTATTTTGTGAGCTATACACCTAGTAAGTCAATGAAGAATTGTTAAAACAGTACTGGGAAAATGATGCCACATTCATCTGAGTATAATAAATTTGAAACTCATTTTTACTATGTTCTTAGTACTTTGTAAAACCAGTTTGTACTAACAGTTTCGTCCTTTAGATATTTCATTTTATCTATAGATCTAATTCAGCCTGAGAAATTACGGAGTTATTTCTCTATTCTTAGAAGGGAAAATAACTCTTCATGTTGAAAATCATTATTACCATATAATTCGACTTTCATTTATAAGTTGAACTGAACCAGAAAACTTACAATCATAGAGTGTGACTGGTCACAGAGAATGGTTGGGGCATTAGCTCGGTACCTGTCCCAAGTGAGCTCATTATTACCTTGTTATACTTTAAGTTCTAGGGTACATGTGCACAATATGCAGGTCTGTTACATATGTATACATGTGCCATGTTGGTGTGCTACACCCATCAACTCGTCAGCACCCATCAACTCATCATTTACATCAGGTATAACTCCCAATGCCATCCCTCCCCCCTCAAGCCTCCCCCTTCCACATAATAGGCCCCGGTGTGTGATGTTCCCCTTCCCATATCCAAGTGATCTCATTGTTCAGTTCCCTCCTATGAGTGAGAACATGCAGTGTTTGGTTTTCTGTTCTTGTGATACTTTGCTGAGAATGATGGTTTCCAGCTGCATCCGTATCCCTACAAAGGACAGGAACTCATCCTGTTTTATGGATGCATAGTA